GTCGCACAAATGACTAGGCTCGACCGGGGAAGGACCACGCTCTCACAGAATACCATTAATATTTAAAGCTATCTCTCCTTCGTTAGAACCATGTGAAACCAGTTGTAGCATGGAGTCTGCAGCCATTGGGACGTGGTCGATGAGTCGGTCTGTGTCAGCATTACCACTATGGGACCTCTAGAGGCACCTGTAGACGCGAATATGGTCGTCGCTGTCTACGCGCAGCCATAGGATGGACAGGTCCGTACCTTCAACATAGTCAAGATGACGAAATCAAGTATCCCCTTTGACGTACACGCAAACTCCAGCCCGAGAAACAAAGGCGTGTTTTAATTTGTACCTTGGATAGAAGAGACATCTGTGTCTCGGTTAGAAAGAACAAAGCCGGCTTCGCCGTTTTGCAGATGGTAGTGGATGGCGTTAAGATTTGAATGAAGTTTCCTGATGCTGCAGAGATTTACGGATAACGTGACAGGCCTTTGTCATGCTTCGTTTGCTCTGAGCAGGTTTAGTTTCGAGTGGAATTTCACCCCTCCCGCCAGAATACGTGGGGCAGCCTGAGCACCCACGCTCAGGTAGAGTAAGGTACCTTGGGCGTGGATGCTCAGCGAGGGCTTGTCCGCCAGGGGTATTGGTACCCTCCTGGTGTAGTATTCTATTTAACTCAGCTACCATATTGTGCCTCCGGCCACCTGCACTCACCAGATGAAATGTAGAAGCAGAACTTCTACTTCACGCTGGTCTTCTGTGAGGTCGTGTTATCACCCCAGTTCGAGCCGGCCCAAACGTGCAAGGGCAAAAGCTGCCGCGTGGCTCTACCACTGTTAAAAATATTGCTTTATCGCCATCTATCGGAAGCCATAAGATTTTTTAATATACACATAGATCCTCGGAGGTGACAACGCACAACACATCTGCAGCTGTCTTTAATTGACGTGATTGCAGATGACTTGCAATAGCGTTGTTTCCAGATACATTTTAAGCTTATTCGATAAATAAATTTTATATACATATATTTTTCAAAGAGTAAAAGAGCATGTAATATTAATATAATTTATTGAATTTAATTTATTTATTTATTAGGTGAACTGTGTATTGAACCTTTTTTAATACAAAAACTAGCTCGCAGTAAAAAGGCCAGGCAGTTGTGGTTCTAATCATTCCGGTAGGTACCACAATTAATTTCACTCTTTATTCATTCCTCTGGGCTTTTTAGAGTGTAAATTTCAAATTTATTGATTTCCAGACCATCTTTCAGGTCCAGATTTCGTGATTTTCTTTATTTTATCTATTCTTTATAAATTAGGTCTTCAAAATATGTCCTGAAGAGATTCAGATAATCAGATATCCGTAAATTGTTTTCCTTAATTGCCGAGCTCGTGGTGAATCAGCGTGGATCAAACGGTTTTTCGAGTAATATCAATTTTAAGGTACTTATCCTATAGGTAATTCTCAAAATATGTAATAATTTATCGGACTGAATCTTATAATACCATGTAATTTACTATCATCATCATCATCATTACAGCCCTTCACAAGTCCACTGCTGAACATAGGCCTCCCCCAAGTAATGCCACAAAGCACGGTCCTGAGCCACCTGCATCCATCGACTTCCTGCATGTCTCACCAGGTCGTCACTCCATCTAGTGGGGGGTCACCCTACACTACGCCCACCGGTACGAGGCTGCCACTCGAGAACCTTTCTTCCCCATTGGTTATCGGTTCTTCGAGTTATATGGCCGGCCCATTGCCACTTCAGCTTACTAATCCGTTGGGCTATGTCGGTCACTCTGGTTTCACTGCGGATATCCTCATTTCTGAGTCTATCACGCAGTGAAACTCCGAGCATAGCCCTCTCCATAGCTCGTTGAGCGACCTTGAGCGTCCTCATACGGCCAGCAGTGAAGGACCACGTCTCAGATCCGTAAGTCATCACTGGCAACACGCACTGGTTGTACACTTTAGTTTTCAGAGATTGAGGTATACCTGATGAGAAGATGTGTCGTAATTTCCCGAACGCTGCCCAGCCGAGTTGAATCCGTCGATTGACCTCTCGGTCGAAGTTGGACGTACCTAGTCGGACTATTTGTCCCAGGTAAACGTACTCGTCAACAACTTCGAGCATAGTGCTCCCAACAATTACCGGCATAGGTGTGACATGGACATTAAACATGATCTTTGTTTTGTCCATGTTCATCTTAAGACCTATCCGTTGGGAGACACCATTGAGGTCATTGAGCATAGTGCTAAGGTTCTTCAGCGATTCTGCCATAAGGACTATATCGTCGGCAAATCGAAGGTGAGTGATGTACTCGCCATTGATGTTAATACCGTATCCTTTCCAGTCCAGTAGCTTGAAAACGTCTTCCAACGCAGCGGTGAAGATTTTCGGGGATATAACATCACCCTGTCTTACACCTCTCTGCAGTTGGATAGGTTTCGTACTCTGGTTCTATACTCGGATAGTCATCGTAGCCCTACTGTACAAACACTTCAGCACTTCAATATACCGACAGTCAACTAGGCACCGCTGAAGAGACTGTAGAACCGCCCAAATTTCGACGGAATCAAACCCTTTCTCATAGTCCACATACGCCAGGCAAAGTGGCAGATTGTACTCTTCGGACTTCTGTACAATTTGCCGAAGGGTATGTATGTGGTCTATGGTACTGAAGCCTTTTCGGAAACCGGCTTGTTCGGGAGGCTGGAAGTCGTCGAGTCTGCGTGCGAGACGATTCGTAATGACTCTCCAAAACAGCACGTAGACGCGGCTCAGAAGGGAAATCGGTCTGTAGTTCTTCAAGAGAGCGTTGTCGCCTTTCTTAAAGAACAAGACCACCGCACTTCTGCTCCACGCCTCCGGAGTAATGCCACCATGGAGGACGGAGTTGAAGAGCTTCTGAAGGACTTCAAGTACCGGTGTTCCACCCGCTTTCAGAAGCTCCGCTGTAATTCCATCCTCGCCCGGGGCCTTGCCGTTTTTAAGATGGTGGAGAGCCATTCTAATCTCGCTCAGACTGACGTCCGGGATATCATCGGAATAGTGTCGGATAAGACTTGTTCTTGGATCGTTACTCACACTTGCGTGTGGCTCCAACGATGATGTGTACAGCTGCCCATAGAACCTCTCAATCTCACTCAGAATCTCAGGTGTCCCGGAAACGATGTTGCCACACTCAGTCTTCAGCCTTGACAGTTGGCTCCTTCTGGCAGACAGATCTCTGGCAAAGACTTTGGAGCCCTGGTTCCGCTCGATCGCTTCTTTAATACGAGCAGTATTAAAGTTGCGTAAGTCTCGCCGCATGCATTTGGAGATCTGTCTGTTCAGCTGCCTGTATGCTGTCAAATCTGTTGACGATTGCAGCCTCATCTCCCGTCTAACAGCCATGAGATTAAGAGTGTGATCGGAGAGTTTTTGTGTTCTTCTGCGGCGGGTCTTGCAGAACTTAGCTCCGACCGCATGGACAGTTTCCTCGAGCTTGTCATTCATATCGTCCACTGCATTGCAATCCTCTAGGCACTGAAAGCGGTTTTGTAACTCGAGCTGAAAGGTTTCGGGATTCTGGATTAGAGCACGAGGGGGACGGAGCGTTGACTTCATTAGACGAGACCTCTCCAACTTAACGTTTAGGTTCAGTGTGCCTCTAACCATTCGGTGATCGCTGCCAGTTTTCACCCTTGCGATCACTGAGACATCACTGAACAGTTGGCGTCTGGTCGTCATAATGAAGTCAATCTCATTTTTTGTCGAACCGTCGGGGCTCGACCAGGTCCACTTCCTGTGGGGCCGCTTCTGGAAGAAAAAGTTGCCCTACTCCAAATTTCCCCACCTTCAGCTCACCGCTTTCTCTTGTGCCCAGTTTTGCGTTGAAGTCTCCCATCAACACCGTGTAGTGGGTTTTGGAGGAATGCATGGCTCTGGAAATATCCTCATACATTTCCTCCACCTCCTCATCGGGATGTGCCGAGGTTGGTGCGTAAACCTGTATGACCTTCAGCGAATACCGTTCGGTGATTCTGAGTATCAGGTACGCGACCGTCGTCAACACACTCCCAATCTTTACAACGTTGTTGACGAGAGACTTGTGGACGATAAATCCGACACCTCCTTGGGACAGATGGTCGCCCTCCCGGTGGTAGAACAAGTTGCCGGACTCGAGGATTGCCGTATCCTCCCCCCTCTCTTCGGACCTCAGATAATCCAATAATATGCCAGCGCAACTTGTCTACCACTTCTTCCAGCTCCAGTATCTTCTCGTCAGTCCTCAGGGTGCGTGCGTTATATGTTGCCAGGTCGAGTCATCGTAGGTGGCAACCGAACCTCCACCGGAGATTCTTAGTACCCCCTGCCCCGCCGTTACCATGGTCGCCACCGTATCTAGGAATAGCGGCGCCGCCGGGGACTGGAGGCCGTTTTTTTGCGTCATTATTCATGGGGGGATATTTGCCATAGTTGCCACGCTTGGCGAGCGGGTTGGCAACCGCAGTTTTTTATTATAACACAGTTGTTATCAGGAAGATGCTGCTGCCCATCTCCTGCCTGTCTCCCTCTGTCGCCTCTTACGACACCCACGGGAAGATATGGGGTAGTGGATATTCTCAACCGCCACTACACGGCACTAATATAATAATAATTAAGGTAATTTACTAATATAATAATAATTATAAAGGCATAGGGAAGTGACGACTCCGTCACTCACTGACGTAACAGTTATGTGATAAAACTGCTACGTCGTCGTTGTAATCAGTCAGAACCTTGCGTCTTGGTGGTAAATTGAATGTACAAAGGTCCGCTTATGCACATGACGTCACCATGAGAAGGCGCTGGGTCTGAGCGCCTCCCTTTAACTGACACTGATTAAATGAATGGTGAAATTCAGTATAATGCACTAGGGCGCGTCTACAGCTGGCGCTGGACGCGACTGCATGCGAACTGCAAGCCGAGCGCAAGGAGCTGCACGACCACCCAGTAGCCCCTCATATGCATCATCCCCAACAATTTACTTGGTGCCGGCATAGTCTTCGCTGGCCCAGTAATCGGTACTTGCCACTGATGGAGTACGCCGCTTGCAATAGACAATCCACATGAATAGCAACGAATTTTGGGCATATTTTAGGGCAAAAGGAGGAAGAAGTTTGAGGTTTTGCGTACCGGGATAGGATGCATCATCTTTTTGCAGAGCTGGATCATCGGATGAAAATGCAACGGCTGAGGATGCGGCGCTACGAGTTGATGAACCCACACAGGTGGATGCCCCTGTGAATTCTCCAATTGTGGCTAATTCAAAAGATGATAAAACAGTCGCCCAGGAGCTAGAACTAGAGCAAATGAGGAGTACATTGGAAGAGGCGATTGTGGATACGCGCAGTACGCCTCTCGAAAATCGACTGCGACTTCCCCGCATAGTCCTAAGCAAGCGGAATCGAGCCGTCGCGAGGGCTTTAAAACCAATGCTGGTGACCAATTTGGTAGCCATTCGGGACCTTTGCAAGACGGATTCAATTGTTTTTGGCATCGCACTGGCAGTATGCCGTATTATTGGCACCAAGCTCCCCATAACTGGACGTGTTACTAGACAAAGTAAGCTATTTCAGCTTGGAGAATAAGAATTGAGGAACGTATCGCAAAGGCAAGGGCTCTCATCGGCAGACTGGTATGCTTCAGGTCAGGCAATACCAGGCCAAAGATTTTGCGTACCATCAGAATGGCGTCTGTTGGGATAAATGTCAGTTTTTCCCAGCCGGATACAACGCAAAAATTGACGGAGCGCATAGACGACCTGAAGTAGGGAATTGCTGCTTGGGGAAAGCGAATAACATAAATATAAACACTCACGCCTGTCACCCGGAGGGGTAGGCAGAGACTACAGACTTCCATTTGGCACGGTCCTGAAATACTTCTCTCGCCTCCTTCACATCCATACACCTACTCATACATGCTCGTCGGTTAAGGGTACTCCTAATTTGGCCCGTTTTCAATAAATCGCCAATTTGGTCGATAAATTTTCGGCTAGGACGTCCCTTTCACTTCTGCCATTCGACTCTGCCATTCACTTCTGCAATATAAATTTTCTTTGTCACTCTTTCCTCATTCATTCTTTCCACATGACCAAACCACCGAAGCATTCCTTTCTAAATCCTGGTCACAACATCATCTTGCAAACCACACTCTTCTCTTATTACACAATTTCTTACCCTGTCGTTCAGATTCAGCCCTAACATACTCCTTAAGGACCGCATTTCTACTGCGTTGATTCTACTCTCGTGCTTCTTCTGCCACACCCAACTTTCACTACCATACGTTAAAGTAGGGACCAACACAGCACTGTGAATTGCCATACGTGCCTTAGGCGAATAAGACGATATATCAATATGTCGACACGATTCAACCAGAATTGCCTTTTCCAGAGTGGTTACGAAAGGCTCTATGAATAATTGGAGCGACCAAACCTGACGTGAAACGTGAAAATGTTTTGTTAGTTTTAATGAAGTGGTAATACGTTAGAAAGTCTATTAACAGTTCAGAAAGTTCGATCACGACAGAAAAGTAATTTCGAGCTTAAACGCGTTTTGCTTGAATATTTTCTATTCAGCTATAAAACTTTCCTACCCATTTTAGAAACGGATTTTTATAAAACTTTTATCGCTTATTTAAAAATGTATGTTAGAATAAAAAGTGATTTTTATGTTCACTGTGCGCACAAAGTGAAATTGCAAACAAATAATCTTCTTGACTCCATATATTGTATCAATTTAACTCGATATGATTTTATTAATGTTTTCTGAAATTCTTACAAATATTGTGAAAAATACACATTCTGCACATAATTAGTGATATGAAGATGAAGTGATATAATATTTGTGAAACTAGTAGTATCACGATTTCCACAAAAAGCTTTGCCTATTATGGGTTATAATTTATCCTTCATACTATATCTCTGTTTCTATACGATTTTTAAGACTGATTTTAATAACAAAGTAGCTTTAAGAGAATTTCCCAACCTTACTCAATTGCGTGCAATATCATCGCTACTATGTGATGCAGGGATGGTAAGTGAAATACGTAGAGACAAGGTTTAGGGCACGGGAGAACCACGCTCTCACCGAATACCAGCGTAAAATAGCAGTTTAATGCTTGCTGTGTTTAGTATGGCGAGTGTAGAGAACCGGCGACCCTTTTTAATGGATATGGCATTCCATCCTAGTCCTCAAGGGTGAAAAAGCATCTGAATTTTGATTTTAAATCGAAGTTAAATGTAGATGTTTATGGGCTTCAGCATCCACTTACGATCAGGTGGACTGTGTGCTCATTTGTGACCCATATTCTATATAAAGAAAGTGTTCCTCAATCAAGGTACGACACATCATTTTATTTATCTATTAATATATTAGTTAATTTTAACATATTGAATGTAATATATTTCCGCAAAGTAACGCCTAATTCTATTAATTCTGTATATGATTTGTGTTTATGTAGTCATATATTGCGGACTAACGAGGTGTCAAAAAATTTGCGTACATCACACGAAACACACATCTTAGTTAAGTGAAAATATAGTAAAACACTTAAAAGATTATTTAATCACTTGTAACTGTAAATAATTATTATAGTTGTTCATCACGCTCAGAAGAGAAAATACAAATAGCTTATATCACAAGGAAACCGGTCCTGGGTATACGTTATGTTATTTTAAACCCTATGATTGCAGTTTATACTAACTGCACCCCGCGGTTCTGTCCGCATTAAAAAACTATTTTCATTTTATATCGTTGTCGGGATTATGTTGTTTCGTAGGTACCCTTATTACAGTAGTTTATGGAAGTATATGGTTACAAACTATTAATATGGGAAGTCGGTGGATGCCGATGGTTTAGGACCGTGCTTATAGGCGTTCCTATGGAAAGGCTTTAAATCAACAGTGGACTTGTTGATGGTAACAATTTATTAAAAAATATCTATCACATGCATTACGTCACATATTGTTATCAAATCTGAAGGGATAGGGAGTATTTTTACTAAATTCTTTATAACTAACATTACCCTTAAAGCATAATCCAGCTTAACTTCAGTAAATCTAGTTAAATAATTTAAAAATTTGAATTTATTATTTATTAAAACACTAGTGTCTATCGTGTAGTGGTGGAGTGAGAATATCCACTACCCCCATATCCTCCCGTGGGTATCGTAAAAGGCGACAGGGGTAAACAAACTAGGAGATGGGCAACAGCGTCTTTCTAATGGTAACTTAAACATTAAAAACTGCGGTTTCCATGCAGCCTTCCTAGCGTGGTAACTATGCCAAATATTCCCCCTATGAAAAAATCTATGAGGTAGGTCTATGTTCAGCAGTGGATTTTTGATATACTGCGACGGAAACTAAAGCACCTTCTGTTGTTAATACTGCTCTTTTAATACCAAAATGCTAGTAGACGTACGACAAAATTTTTTAAGAAAAAGTTTTTTTTTGTATGATACAATAGTCTTGTACTTAACAGTTTTGTAACAGTTCTAATTTATTTTGAAAATACGATTATTTACAAGTATCAATACGAATTTTCCAAATCTCTCTTCACATTATTTGCGAGATAAATAAAAATATCTTGCTTTATTAAAATATGGATTGCTAAATCCAAGCGTACCACTGCAAGACCTCAGGACATAGTTCATTTTGCATAGATCGGACCATAAACAATAATTAAAAAAGCTGAAGGTATTCCGGGTTCAACGATGACGTCGGGACGTCAGTCATCTCAGTCCCCCGAGACGATGGTTGCTGGAAAGCGCCCGAAACGTTGGGAATTAAAAATAAAAGTAATTAAAAGTAAAATAAACGCGATAAAATCCGTAAAAGTAGTTTTAATCAATGTGTAGTGTTCGCGTAAATATAAGAAATCATTATGTATAAAGAAATTCAGTACATATTGCGGAATATATCAGAAAGCCTACGCGAGATTTTTGACGCACGCTTTTGCCCGAGGAGGATCGCGTTGCAATCTGAGGCAATCAAGAAGCGTACGGATGTTTTTGATCGGTAGTTTTCCACTTTGATAGAGTAACTAGTGTCCGTTGCCTTACGAAATTGAAGTAGCGTCAATAACAAATTGTATATTACCAAATTATACAAATAAAATTAAAAATACAAGCGAAACACGGTGCTCTATGGATTACTGCTTTAGAAAGAGGGACTTCCTTGAAAGTACATCTATTAAGCTTTTGGGTCACCCCCCTTAGAGCCCTGATATGATACTGAGTTTTTTATATTTTCTAAAGTAAGTAATCTAACAGCTAACTAAAAGCTAACTTACCACGTGTAGGAAAACTTTATAGGGAAACTTGCACGTATAAAAAAGAGTTATAGACATGTAATCGACCGGGGAAGGATCACGCTCTCACAGAATACCAGCGTGAAATGGCAGCTCAATGTTGCTGTGTTTCATCTGGTTAGTGTCTCTATGATAATCCGGTTTTCTAACTGGAGTCCTTTTTTACTGAAAGCGAGGCACTCCATCTTAGTCCTCAAGGATAGTAACGCATTTGCATTTTGTGTCTTTATTAAGGATAAATGTAGATCTCTATGAGCCACAGCATCCACTTACCATCAGATTGTGGACTATATGCTAAAACTACTTTTACGGATTTTATCGCGTTTTATTTATATTAATTTTAATACCCGACGTTTCGGGTGCTTTCCAGCACCCATGGTCACGGGGGACTGAGGTGACTGACGTCCCGATGTCAAAGTTAACCCGGAGTCACCACAGTTCCCCGTGACCATGGGTGCTGGAAAGCACCCGAAACGTCGGATATTAAATTTAATATAAATAAAACGCGATAAAATCCGTAAAAGTAGTTTTAATCAATGTATAGTGTTCGCGTAAATATAAGAAATCATTATGACTATATGCTAATATGTTACCCTTATTCCTTTAAAAAAAGACTATAGTCAACTTATTTTATTGCTTTTAGTAACTCATTTCTCCGAGAATATTTAAATATATTATGTTATATTTATAGCAACTTTATTAAATTCCGTAGAAATTTTGTTTTATCTAAGCAGTCTTGTACATTGAAAGAAATGAATATTTAACGCTGCTTTTTACCTAATGTTATTGAGCGTTTTTTGTATGTATTTTATTGTCTTATTAAAAATGGTATTTGTGATATTAAAAAAACCACAACGACGTACAATACTCTTGGCCCAGTGTGAGAGACTTATTTAGTCAAAACAGTTACACAAGACTGTGTAATGAGTAACCTATTTTTGTAATGGAGCCTCTAATACGGTTGATCTTAAAAAATAAGTGCATATATTCTTTACGAGCGTACTTCCCATATTGTTATTATTTATTTCCTATAAAAATTATGATAAATAAAATTATAATTATGTTCTTACTTATTAATTAAAAGATGATTAATAAAAGAATAACTGTCATAAGTATTGAAGTATAAAATAACAGAATAAAAATAAATCTAAGCATAATGTAAAATGTATGAAAATATTACGTTTATAAGTAACACATATTATAAACTCACACAATACTAGAGTCAGTAGTTTCC